GTATGCTGTATGCTAATATACAAAAGGGTGTAACAGGTCGGTTTAGGACCCAAATGCAGCACACTTAAGCAGGTAGACAGTCGGTAATGACCTTTATTTTCAGCTCGTGGAACAAACAAAGTAAGCAAGCAGCAGACGATATTGTTATTGTGACTCTTGCAGGAGTCGGGAGTTCTGATGAGGGCTTTCTGTACTCAGCCCGTGGTTGGGGACAGAAGGCTGTGATATCAGGGGCAGAGACAAGCGGGATGGTCAGAAGCAGGCAGGGTCAAAACCATGACCTCCGTCTGAACAACACTGGAAGGTATTGCATAAACACAAAGAACAATCTGGCAACGAATCAATGGCGAGGAGCAGTATATGAACCGGCTTGATTGGTGATCAGGAGGCTGGCTGATGAGGATGCTTGGGTGACTGGCAGAGTGGAACAGTGCTGAGCTGGCTGAGGTGAACAGGTGAGGCAGATTGTGACAAAAGGTGTGCTTTCAGATTAAGTGAGATTTATCAATGGAGTTTCTTACTTGTTGTACAATTTAGAACATTAATATAGCAGCAAACAACTATTTGCTATTTAATGCAACAGCTGTTTTTCTCAAGGATTTATTTCTACCAAACCAGAGATCATCATCAGAGATTGTTGGAACAGTGGAAAAACTAAAAGACAGTTTTGGTGAGTTTTATTTAGTTTTGTAACTTTGAATGAAGTTATCATTATCTTTGAGGTTACGTTACTGTTTTTGTCTATGGTGGCAAACAATAGCAATATTGTGGCTGTTTCTGGTTAAACAAAAGGTCTATCTCTGTATGACAGACCCTTAGAATAACAGTCTGAGCCTGTCAGTTGCAACTTTTAGTGGACGTTTTCTGAAGGGCACATTTGTCCCCAATGATTAGTTAATGTTAGGTACACGTATTTGTATATTGTATTGTATTTTCTGATTCTGCAAATAAGGGTTTATTTTGACCAAACCATACATGCTGTTGTAGTCATAAAGACGAAACAAAGACTTTATTGAAGCGTGTGCTTTATGATCTGCGAGGTAAATTTGTGTTTTTGTCAATATATTCTGGTGAGTCATTTGGTTTGGTCTGCTGTGCTCTAGTGCGACATCGACTCAATGTCTGAAAGTCTTGTACAGCACCTGTTAAAGGCTGAACCTGGTCTTATTCTATATTTTTGTTATTTTAAAAAAATCAACAAAAAAAAGACTAAAACCAAAAATTTTTTAAAAACATTTTTGTCCCTTATTTAACACTATAACAGAAGGGGAGATTGTGACCATATTTCACATTTGGTCGGACACTGAATTGATTGACTTTAAACTCAAAGGCTCAAAATAGGGTTTTAGCCATACACATGTTGACTGGGACAACACAATTCATTGTACAAATAAAAAATAATAAAATTAAGTCTGTCACTTAAAATTATTAAAGCAACTTTCCAAAACAAACTTTTTTGATTTAGAATTTTTATTTTTTTGATGATGGGTTTTTTAGTTAAATAAATAAACTCAACTGGTTTTACGGTGCCATATGAGTCTGGATAGACATGGATGTAAACTGCAACCTCATTGGTTGGCGGAGGCATAGAACCACTTGGCTTTAACTCTAACCATTATTTATCCAGAGGAAGCCAGCTGATCTCACTCTCCTCCTTTCAACTCCCCTCTTCCTCCACAGCCTTGTAGTGTCGGGCCATACACTGCTCCACTGGAGCCTCACTTCTCTGTACAAGGGCACCTCTACTGGGACTGAGGGAGGGGAGAGGGTGATCCATACACCTTCGGCCTCCCTTATTCTCCTGACAGATGTTTCGTACTGCTGCACTGTGTGGGCTGATTAGGATCTTATAGCTATTACATACTGTCATATGAATAAAGGTATCCATATTGTTACCCTACTGGTGATAAATGGGAAATGTGATAGGAGAGACAGGCAGCCTCTGTGATTTTATGAAGGGTTGTAAATATGTTTAATGGTGTGCATTATCATATTTCAGTGGTGTAGACATTCTGAACACTGCTGGGAAATTGAGATATAGTCAGGTCATGGTGTGATGCTCTGCTCCTCTATAGACAAACACCATCTGAACACATACATACAGCATATAGTGTGATATTAATGTGCTTTGTCCTTATCTGTCTATGTATGTGTGTGTGTGTGTGTGATCTGCCACCGATGAACTCAATCACACTTTTTACTAATAACTTCTGTTCCATATGTATTTAATACAGATGAATGAATCTGACTCAAGCCAAGTTTTTAAGTCATCTGATATGTAGTTGTGTGTGTCTGTGTGTGTGTGTGCATTACAGTCACTGAGAGCTATACTGCAGTTCCTTTGGTGAAACCTGCAGCATCAATCCAATGTCCTTTCCTGAAAACATTTCCTTGACTGTAATTAAGGCAATCAGACTGAGACGTTAGTATATTTGTCTGACATGGCCAAAATAAATTGGCAAAATTGATATCAGTCAGCTTTGCCTTTTATCCTGGGTATTTAACATTGGAACTTTTCCTTGACCTCGGTGGAAAATGTCAGTGTCTGGTATTAGCAGATTAGGTCTGGGACTTGATACAGACTGGTGGTTAAAGTGTAATTTCAATTTGTAGACCCTTTGTAGGTCTGCAATAACTTCACCTTAATTCAGTAATGACCTTTTTTGTCTTGCCCCCCCCCCCCACCCAGCATTTTCATCAACAAGACACAATATGAGAGAAAATAGTAACAAAAGTAAAGCTGAATGTTATTGAAAGAAAAAGAAGATGGAAAAACTTTGCACATGTACTTCAGGGTTGGATGTGGAGCTGCCACACATAATCTGGAAAATAATAACTACAAGTGTTTGAGGGAGCGAGACCGCACATCAAGCTCACAAAATTATAATGCAGGATGTTTTATTAAAACTGACAGGAACAGCACGTTTCTCTCTGCGCTTCATCGGGCTCATGACAGTGAATGTGCAGTGAGCCAAAGGCTTAGAACTGCAAGCACAGTTTGTGCAGTAATTAACGTATTAATGTGTGCAAATATGCTTGACCATGTCAAATAATGAGTATACCTGCAAACTTCATTAAAAATCTTAAATTCCACCAAGCAACACACTGAAAATATTAAATGTGAAATTTGTCTACAGGCCAGTTTCCAACTTAAAACATATAAAGATTAAAGTTTCAAATTGTAAAGTGATGTTTCTTGATGTTTTGTTTTTTCACAAAAAAGTATAATTTTCACATTAAAATCCTTAAAAAGTCATCTCCTTCAACCTCATAAAATTCCAAAATCTATGAATATGCAAATGTTGTTCATTTCTAAAGTTTCCCTGCCGGACACAAGATGTCTCCCTACTTCACTGTAAAGTCAATTCTCAGTGGATGTGCACTGGTGGATCACACTGTACAAGTTACATGCTGGACTTCATGAGGATTACCAGTTTTTCTTTTCTTCTCTGTCTAAAATGTCAGTGTTGCAGTCAGTCTTCTACTTTATGTCACTTTCTGTCTAATTCAATCAAATTCAATTCATTTTTAATTGTATAGCGCCAGATGATAGTTATCTTCGACCGTACTGCTTATAAAATTATTTACAGAGATAAAGAAAGAAGGAAAGAGACAGAGACAAAGGTGACTGTGAGTATTTGAATTTGAGAAGTTATTTATTCTGTGTTTTGAACTACACATATGTGATATTATGCTGTGTTGAAATAATTGTAATAACTGCTAACAATAATGCTAACATTTGTTAGCATTTAACACGTGGCTGTTTAAATATATATTTTATATATAATTATATATATATATATATATATAATTAATATCATAAACGTGCAACGACTAGTCGACTGTTGGGCTTTCAAGAAATATCTCCATACAGCCAAACATCTCACCGATTTGCAACAACACAGCGTTCACCTGTAGCATGGCCTAGTGTAAAGGTATTTGTGCTCCTCCATCCAGCAACACCTGTTCCCTGAGTGACAGTTAATACCTATATTGAAAGTGACCTCAAGCACAAAGGTGACTCCCACTGGACTCATCTGCTCCTACATAAACTTCTAGAAATGGCTCCTGCATTGGGCTCAGTGACAAGTGAGGTTGTCTCAGTCATGGTTCTTTTTTCTCCTGAAAAGAAATGAAAAAAATTAGTGATTACTAAAAAAAAACAACTACCATCTGTTTGACAGCAGAATAGCTCTGCTTTAACAACATGGCTTTTATTTTGTAGTCCTGCCCATCTGTCTGAAAACGTTGTACTCACTGGAGTGACTGCCGAAAGTCAGGAACAGACCCAGTGCGGCAACAAACATGATGAATCAACGTGAGATCTCTGCTTTGGTGTAAAGACAGTATTAGTTTTTTTGGTTATAATATGGTTTCAACAATCAACTTTCTTCCAGCCTCCTACCCAAATTATCGTTCTATCTTTCTTGGCTCTGGTTGTTTTTATATAGAATTTTGTAAGTACACAATATCACGTCAGCTAGAATGACCTTGGTATCTACATCCACATTGAATCCATGCTGGACCCACCAGTCTAGTGGGATCAGGATCTTTGTGATTTTTAGCATCAAAACTATAAAAACTCCACCTTAGATTTTTTTAAATACCCCAAACAAAATTTGATCTTGATTCTGGGTAGGGTTGGATTCCCAAATCTGTATCCCAATTAAATTTTAAGTAAAAATTGATACATTTTTAAAATTGAATCATATCAGGAGACTTCTGATCTAGATTAAAGGTTACCTATATTATATTAAATGTCTGACGATAGAAATGTTACACCTTTAACTAAATAAAAATGACAGAGAATACAATATGTAAGGTAGTTGTGGCACAGTTATATATAAATATGATACATCATCACCTTTACATACAGATCAAGTATGTGTTGAACCTAAAGAACATGAGGGTGCTGCACTTCTCCTCTCAGTGGCCGGTGTTTCTGTTAGAGTGTTAGATGCTGCCACCATGTGGACATACAAATGACGCATGAGCCAAGCTACAGTTTTCATGCACTTCTTTAATATATCAGTTTTTCATATTCACAACAAATACATTAAGCTCTTTCTCCTTATTATACAGCCTTAAATATTTTTACACTCGACCGTTTTTTTCTCAGAAGTCTGCCTATCAAAATGTCTTTTTAATCTTTGTCTCTTTGTTTTCAACATTTTATAATTTGTTACATTTGAAGTCTCCATGCCTCTTAGCAAACTGACAATATTTCCTTTGTACAACTATTTACAGGTGAAAAAAAACAAAAACAAATCCCCATAAAGTTTTTCATGGTAGTTCTCAGTTGAAAAGAATTGTTGGGTTTAAGGTGCAGGCAAGGAGGAGAGGGAGGGAATGTTTAAGAAGAAAAAGGAACAGAAAGGTGGAACGTGTAGTTCTGGATGAAAAGGAGGGACAGAGAATGTGTGGTGGAGAGGAGAGCCTCAGTGGCGGAGCTCAGTGTCTGCTCCTGTAGTCTATGTAGTTTTAGCAGATATACATCTGTGATAATATTCTCATAGAAAATAAAGATCTCTAAAAGTAAAATAAATACAGCACTATGAAAGACATTACTGTTTCCTTCCTTAGCTCCCGTCATGTGAACAGCGAGCAATCTACAAGTGTGCAACAGCAGATCCCAGTACAGCAGCCACTGCTATCTGCTCTCTGGAGGAGGATACTGACGCCTGTGGAAGAGGACTAAGGCCATGTGCTTCTTCTAGTGAGGTTCTGGGAGCTTATTTTGTATTAAACTTGCCATGATCTGAGCACCTCTGGATCTGTGAGGGCTTAAAAGTTGACATTGACAGTTCATTCATCACCTTGGAAACAGCGGTTGCTGAGATCAAAAGCTCTAGAACAAGCACATAAGTAACCTTGAGTTGAGATTGTTCTGTCAGATGCTCCTTTCAAGGCCAAGCACGAACAAAAAACGCTCTACATTCAAGCCGATATGGACAGGAAGTCCTTGGAATGCTCGGAAAAATGGAAATCTACGCTTGCAACACGTGGTATGATCAAAAACTCCACAGCATGTAAGGTCAATGCACCTGGTGATCCAGTAATTTGAGGCCATTATTGAAATCTACAAACTTTAGAGTTTTAGAATTGAGGCAAGAACTATACCTGGCAATTAGGGGTGCACAATTTATCCAAATATTATCAAACTCGCAGTATTGCCAAGGGCGATATCCAAATCAAAGGCAGCAAGGTACAACGTGTGACAAACAGCATTATAATGAAGTGCTGTAGTGCTGCACAGATGCCCAGGCATGCAAATCTTTCTGAGAAAGAATGTTTGTTTGGTACAGACCCAAACAGATTTCACATCATCATGATTTCAATAATTGTTATTATATATTGCAATATTTATCGAAATAATCGCAATACGATTTTTTTGGTCCTATTTTTGCCCTTTTTTGTAAAGTTTGTAAAGTTTTGTAAAGACTGTTCTCAGAACTATTTTTTTTCTTTATGATGCGGGAAACAGGAAATGCAATGCAAAAGTGAAATGCAAAAAACTTTGCCTCCAAGATACAAGCCATGGATGTTGTGGTTGCATCTTAAAAACGCACAGAAAACATTGGACAGGTGCGTTTTGGAGAAAAGTTTTAGAGGCACATTACTTTTGGTGCGTGTTGGGCCATTTAAAGCAATAGGCATACTTCAGTTCTTATTAAATTCTTAGTTTGGGCTTTCTTTCTGAGAATTATGAGGCTAGAAGTATACCTAGAAATGTTTTTTCCGCAAAGTCAGACTTTGGTGTGGTTTAAGATGCAACTGCAACATCCATGGCTTGTATCTTGGAGGCAACATTTGTTGCATTTCACTCTCCCATTCACCCTTTGCAGGTTTCCCCTCTCTATTTGGTGCATCATAAAGGTAAAAAATAGTTACGACAACAAAGTTTGACATTTCTAGGTATACTTCTAGCCTTAAGTCACAATTCTCCCCCCCAAAAAAGCCAAAACTAACAAAAATTCTCAAGACCTAAACAAACTCACGCGTGCATTTTAAGGGTACGCTGCACCTTAGTGTGTTTGGGCCTTTAAGATCGAGGGTTTACAAAAGTTTGTAGAATTCAATGATTAAACTCTAATCTAATCTTCCCACATGACCTCATCCTCTTCTGCAATACCAGTATTACTGGGCTAGTATTTTGTACTGACAACTTCATTATGTTCAAAACTTTAGAATTGTATGACTTCAAGAAGTTCTCAGCTGTTCAATCACTAGTGCCTAGTCTCTTTCACAACCCAAACAAACTCTTGTCAAAAAGGTCAATAACACGCCAGTTCAGGTTTCTTCAGATGTTTTGTGAAGCTGTGGACAGAGGGGTTGCACCACCAGGCGATATGCAATATTTAATAAAAGGCCTACATTGCTCTACACATCAGTCGAACCCTAACCTACATACTATGTTGGAGTCCAGTATAAGTAATAGTCAGATAATAGTAGAGTAAAAGAAACAAAATTCTGTGAAGCCCCTTTCCCTTAAAATGTACAGGTTAAACCATGCACTGAAGTGGCTGTCTGCTATTGACTGGTCTTCAGTGCCAGGTGATACCAGCTGTTTCTGTGAGTGTCCACTAAAAAACAACAACAAACACCAGTTAGTGCGCAACAAGTCAATCCCCAGCATTTAACACAAGGCACGCGTTGCTTCGACTGAACTGTTGAAAGAACGCAAAGCAACATGTGAACCACCAACATGGCCGACATTGGCAAACATTACTGCTGAAACAATGGCAATTAATATAATAGATTAATTCTTTAAAGTGGCTCTAATCAATTGCTTTATGTGTCAATGTATGAATTAAACCTCCAATGAATGTCGCTCTGTAACTGCTTAATGTCAATGTTGTATTCAAAACTTGTTTCTGCTACCCCCAGGTGGACAAAAGGAAAAACAGGCAGAAGAACTCTACAAAACAAAAAAATGCATGTGACAAAACGTTTTACAGTTAACTTGTTAGCAAACTGTCTTATTTACACATTGAGCAAATAAAATGTGACAGCCCTATTGTCTTCCCAGATCTCAGAAATTAGCTTGGCAGGAATGTTAATCAAAACTATGACAATAAACTGTAATACACCTGGAGTTTACCCTTTTAAAAGTCCCGCCCATTTTGGAACCTCAGTCAACTTCCTCTTTTCCTGTACTTAGATATGCTATGTGCTAGGCTAATATATGTTGAAAAGACAACAGCGACATGTATGTAGTCACATCTTAGCTTACAGTAGCTATGTTAGCTAATGTTAACAAAAGCTAGCTAACTAGCCAGCTAACTACCATGTAACAATTGATGTAGATTAGCTAGCTTGTTTGCTAGCATTTTGTTAACATTAGCTAACTTAAGATGTGACAATATATGTTGCTTTTATCTTTTAACCATCTTCAAAATGTGGTTGTCTTTTCAACACAGATTAGCCCTACCACAAAGCATTTCTAAGTACTGAGTACTAAAGTACCTTTTGACTGAGGCTTATTTGACTATTACTGGAGAACAGAGCAAAAAGGGGCGGGACTTAAGTGCACCTCTATCTACATAGTCCAGCCAATAGCAGATGGACATACTGTACCCTACTTTCACCAGTGGATATCAGGCTTCACACAGATTTGGGTTTTGTTACTCTTCAAATATTGAATCACACTTTGGGACATTTTGTCTGCAAAATGGGTAATGTGATGCTAACATAAATGTCATCTTTATACATCCAGTCCACAGATACTTTTGATATCATGTTTAAATGTGTATTTTTGTGTACAACCTGCCTTGAGACATTACGGGTGATCACTGAACAGCTCATGAAATTTGTAAGGAAGAAGGTTAAAAATACAAACTCAGTAGAAGGGAGGCAATCTTCTTCATTTTTGAGAGAGGGGGAAAAAACCAGGCACCAAAATACATAGATTTTCCCACCTTCTACACAGATTTCCTAACAGTTTGTATTTAATATGCTTCCTGGACACATTTTATGAGGTGCCCACGGTGTCTAAATTACAGCAAGTGGTAATCCAGGGCTGTGATGAGTAGTCAGACTGTTACCGGGACAGGGCTGGCAGTTTCCCCCGGTTTCCAGCTTTTGTGCTAAGCTAGGCAAAACTCAACACAGCCTGGTTCCCGGACGCACAAAGATGGGACTAATGGCTTAGATGTATTTCCTAACGTGTAATCAGATTGTTGTGGGGGGTGGTGCCTGTGGCTTAGTTAATGATGGAAAGCTGTACATGATCCTTGATAATTGCGAAGAACTGGTCTGTCAGTGTTTGGATGGACACTGTGTGCTCTACCTCATCACATCAACATCAATTCATCAGGCCATCAGTGTCATTCTGGTGACATGCTCGGCTGCTGGAGACAGTCCTTCGATGACAACTGAGCCTTCCCAGCAAAATATTCACAGCTCAGCCCCTGCAGATGACTTGAGCATTTGAAATTGAATTTTGGGTCATCAGCTCTTTATGTCACAATTTATTCTTCAATAAAAAAAAGAAAAGGCAAGTTGCTCATTTGCTTCGATCCATCTCTACAAAGTGCAAGTACACGAGTCACAAAGACTTAAACAAGCGTCAAAAGAAAGACTGGTAACTTCAAATAAAGCGGTTCTGAAAATAAATCCATTAAACAAAAACAAAAAAATCACATAAATAAGTAAATATCTGCAGGCCTGCCTGTACAGAAAAAGGCAAACATCGACGATAAAACAAAAAGAACCTGTAATAAACACCTACAACTCTTAACACAGGCTGGAATGAAAAAAGAAATACAGGTGCATGTGTGTAGAGAAAGTAAAATGGTGTGATTGAAAGAACAGACTAACAGAGGATCACTGGTCCTTTCAGCAGGTAATGCTGCAGCCCGACAGTCAGCAGCTGCAACAGGTAAGGTCCCATTTTAAGCCAAGTGCAATATTAAAGCCACATGGTCAAAGAAAGAAAAAAAAAAAGAAAAAGAGAGAAAAAACAATGACACGACATGCACTTGGAAAAGCTTTGTTGCAAAGATGCTGTGTAACAACTTAAAAGCTTAGAGAAGCCTGTACACACTCCTCAGCATAGTGTAAATGCTTAGCAGCAGCTTGGCCAGGTTAGAAAGAGAACCCTTCCACCTCTGAGCAAATCTGTGCTTTCCCTCCCTATGAACAGCCCGGCAGAACACTTTTCTACTAGAAATCTTCTGGAAAGAACCACTTCTGCTGCTTTCACACACATGAAATCCTTTGAAAAGGTAGAGCATCTCTGGAGCAACATCTTTCAAACACCTCTAAAGCTTACTAATTAACACATAGCTCGTTTGTTGGCTTTAGACCAGGCCTTTTAAATGGAATGAGAAATCCATCTTCAGCAGGTTCCGTCACCAAACAAATTTTTCTTCCCAACAGCTCCTGTTCCTACAGGACATCTACACAAAGAACTGCTTCCCCTGCTTACATGTGAAGGTTAGAGCAAAATCTTTCAGTAGATAAATAGCTGTTGCTGTTTCATCGTGGGTGTCAAATCTGTTGGGGGCAGAATTTGGTCAGCATTTAGCCCAAGAAAAGAAAAAAAAAAAAACAACGGCCTTTGCTGCAAAATAAACAAATAACAAAAAAGAGCTCAAGCTAAAACCTAAAATATGATAAACAAAAATGAAAAAATAAAAATAGATCTCTTTCAAGTTATCTTCCTTTGGGGGTTAACCCCTGCTGATTGACCTCCAGCTCATCTCGGGGACGGGCTAACGCCTTGGCCTTCCATCTCAGCCGACGGACGGGAGGCCTCTTCTCCTTCCACAGGCCCCGCTCTGCAGTCGCTCAAAGTGCAGTTCAGCAGCCCGGCTGACAAACCAGCCTCCATCCTCAACGCGGGAAATGACGGGACGAGTGGCGCCCAAAAACCTCAACTTCTCCTGTTCCACCTTCGTCTCTCCTTCCTTTGGCCTTCATTTTTTCCCTCCAGCAGGCAAGTCGATCTGTGGAGTTTTCCATCTTCTCTTAAAACTCTTTTGGTATGGATACCTTTGCGTTGTTTTGTTTTTCTTTTGTGTCATTCAAGTTTCTTTTTTTGAGGCTGCCTTCTTCAGGTTGAAAGAAGAAAAAAGCACATTCTTTGAGACTATTTGTTTTTTCAGTAATGAATGAATCCACCGTATGGACACGAGACTTTTGAGAAGTGACGAGGGATGGACTGGTGGGATCTGCAGCACTTACTTAAATGCTGAAAACTCCCCTGAAAAGTAATAAAGATACAGAGAAAATTAGTAGTATTAGTAATGTAGCTCTTCCCATCTGAAACCCTATGGAATGACATTAGTAACAAAATTCTGTATATGTTTTTTTTTTTTATACATGTATATTGAGATATGACACACACAACACTGACATATGAACATATACTGCAGACACTAAGCAACTTTAGCATTCATTTTGAGTTGTGTTTGTGTCCAACATTCACTCTACTTTCATGATTCAGCCTTCATCTTTGTGGTTTATATCTTATATTTCTGAATACATGTTTATATATAAATAATATTTGTTGTATCAAGACGGAAAAGCAGTAAAGTGAAGCATTTAGACCATCATGAGATGCTCAAATTCACATTCATAGACCGCAACCTCTATGAATGTAATGCAGTGTAATACAAAACCATGCAATCAATACCCTACCTTTACGTAATGTAGTATTATCAGTTTTGATTGAGAAAATGTCAGTAATGTTTTACAAGAATATTGTTTTCACTTACCAATTCCAGCTGCCTCAAATTTGCATTTTTTTTGTCCGGTGTTAAGCTACTGTCTGTGAAAGACTTCCCGCACAGATATTTCACATTAAAAGCCTTCCATCCCTATATGATGGGCTTTGAATGTGAAATATCTGAAGGAAGTGTTGACTTTCTCTGACAGTGGCTTAACAAAGATTGAAAAAATTGCAAAGTAGGAGCAACTGCAATTAATCAATTAAAATAACATTTCTATTAACAAGAGAAACCAGTCGACATACATTTTAATATGAAAAATAATATGCGTTTGCTTGAGTTGTATTTGAGTTTCATACCTTTAGTGTAAAGACATATTTGTGAACTGAAGCAACTGTTAAGACTGATGTCTGTGTATGAGCTCACCATAGCCGCCGGCCTGGATGGGGGTTTTGGGTGAGGCGCAGGCGTACAAGCTGAAGTCCTCCGTTTGAAAGCCAGCTCGGTTTAACGAAGGCTCTGAGGCGCTGCGGTGGATTTTGGGTAATGAGCGAGCCAGCAGCTCAATGGACGCTAAGATCTGACAGGACACACAGCACAGCCACAGGGTCAGTCAGAATCAGTGTGGTCACCATTCACAACTAAACAAAACCTTTAACAGTGCTGTGTGCTGTGTTTGGAGCATGTAACTAGTGATAGGGATAGACCGATTTTTTAGGGCCTTAGCCGATACCGATTTTTTTTTTCACAAGCCTTAGCCGATACCGATACGGACTGCCGATTTTTCTTGCAGCCGATATTTGGAGCCGATACTACTTTTGCTGCCCGTCAATTTACATCATAAAAATGACACTGATCATACACAAATGTTACGAGTCTCAATTTTAAAAAAAAGGAACATTTACTTTGAAATTCAAAAGGCTGAGTAGAACAAGGAACAAGTAAACCAATATTTAACAAATATTAAAAACAGGTGAGGTTCAAACAAGTAAACAAAAAAAAAAAAGAGTTTTTGAGTGCTCGAAATACCTTGTCAACCATAAACTACTGTAACATCTAAAAAGTTCTTGAAATAAATTCTTGAAAATAAATTCTGAAAACAAATATTTTAAGCATACCAATTCATAATGACACGCCACTTTTGCACACAGTAGCCAAACAGATATCTCTTAATCAGGATGCAAACTCTCTTACCCCACAACAGGAGGAGGTTTCAAAGAACATTATTGGCCTGATGTTGTGGAAAGAGAAATGTAAAAGATCCAGCCATATACGGCCATCACTGCGTGCACTTGTGCTGGGGTACAATTGATAAAACGTTTGGTTAACACGAAGTTTTAATATTCAACTACTGAGGGGGCTAACAAAAGGCCGATTGTGAATCGGGAAACCGATTTTTGATTTAAAGATGCGGAGTGCCATCGGTACATGGACTACATCATCGGTCTTGATGTAGCTTGAACCGGCGATGGCCGGGATTCATAATTATAATCGGTTTTTGCCTGCTTGGTGATGGTGTAACTGTGTCTGTCTTTTCTGCCCCCCGCCGTCTCTTTGCCTCCCTCCTTAAAACGTCTTACGGAGACTTGTGCGCAGTCATATGTGCAGGATGCGCGCTGTGAGTTTGTGGAGGGAAGGTGTTCCAAAAAATGGGCTGGACAAGGGTAATGTATCTTTATCAGCTTCCCGCTATGTTTAAAGTCTGATTATTGTGTAAAGATAATTCGGTTTTATTTGATAAGATTGGTGTGGTAAGGGTATGCAGTTGTGGTTAGGTACTCTGGTATGCTCGCACTCCATTCCTGTTGTACTGGTCCCAGTGGGATCGAGGTTCTGTAGGTGGGGAGACAGTTGTTCTATGTCTGCTATTGTGTGTTCTGCCTATTTTTTTAATTCTCTCCCATCCCACTTATCGTTCTTGTGTGTTTTTAGCGTTAGTGTGTGCCTGTGTGTTACTAATGATATTCATGTACTATATATTTATCTGTTCTGTGCTGTGCCGCTTAGTAATGCTCGTGTTGCAATGCAGCATTACACAGTTACTTCATTTATGGAAATGTTGTACTACTTTCACAAGAAATCCATTGCATCATACCCCCTCTCGAATTTGAGCCGCGCCACATCGGAATCGAATCGAATCCTTCTGATCGCAACCTAAATCGATCGGTTCCATTTTTTAAAATGTATCGTTCCTGAACGTTATCGCTACCCCATGTATCCAGATACGCGATCGAATCGTCTTTTATTGAGAGATGCACACCCTTCAACTACGTTAAAACATATCTCTCATCTTAAAGCCTCTTCTTGAGGGGCGGTTGCGCTATGATATCACCGCGGGATTGGCCAAGGAACTCCGCCCCCTCCGCCAAGTAGGGGAAGGAGAGGAGAGAGAAACACACAACCCCGCTCAAGTAGGGGGAGAGGGAGAGACAACCACACAACCCCGCTCCAAGTAGGGAGAGGGAGGAGAGACCACACACCTTCTTTTTTCCAACCTCCGCCAGCTGTGGGTTCGCTAAATAAACCACGGAACAACGTCGGCATTACTTAACTCATGACCAGTGTTCGTAACAGCTACCGTATTCATACATATAGCCCACAATGGCAAGCAGTTCTTTATGACTGAGGGCACTTCGGCATTCCGTTTACCATTGGACCCACAAAACTTGCTTTAGCTATAGTTTCAAGCAAAACACATATAGAGCATGTGCATTTTGGCATTTGTGTGTTCCACTTTCAAGTTTCATATTTCAGGTAAGTTAAACGTTTAAAAGGATGCTCTGAAAAGTTTAAAAACTGTAGCGTTGGTTGAAGAGCTAGGGCTTCCGGCAATCTCCCTAGTGGGGAGGGGCTATGCATGTCTGCCCCTGCACTGCAAGCGTCTCCAGCACCCAACTGGCCTTTTTGGACGCCTGTCTGTAAATAATGCCGGATCGGCGAACGCAGCAGCCCGCATCGGCCGATGCCGATACACGTAAAAAACGCAAAAATCGGCCGATAAAATCGGTCGATCACTAACTAGTGAGTCATTGCTTTAGTTCTTTAGTTTTTTTCTCTGAGGCCATCTGGTTTCAAAGTCAATCAGTTCCCCATTCATTCATATCTGTAAATTTGAATTAATTAATTAAAAATTATAAAATTAAAATTGATGATTGCTTTCTTAATTCTCCTTTAACCAGCTTTTGATCAATGAAACATCCTGTTCTTTAACAACAGGGAAAGTTAGAAATAAAGGCCTGTTTAAAAATCTGCTTCTCTCTGCAGTTGAAGTAAAAAGAACATTTAAAATATTTGTTCAGCTCTTCTTGTCGTATTAGCATTGTCTCACCTGAGGGAAGAGAGGTCGCTCCTCTCTCTTCTTCTTCAGGCAGTCAGCCATCAGTCTCTTCATTGCCTTTGGACAGTTGCTGCGCACCTTGCTCAGGTCAGGAGACAGGTAACCTCGACCCACCATAAATATGATCTATGGGAAGAGAAGATGTGTCATCAGAATATTTGGTTGCAGGGATACAACCAAAGATCCAAGAACATTTTTTGAGTTCTAGCTTTCAACAGAGCTCAAATGTTAAAGTTAGGAAATGTGACTGGACTGTGCCACATTTATTAATCCCAACAAAAATATTTGTTCTCTGCCTTTGACCTGTCCTAATGGCACGTGTCCACAGGGGCGTCTTTGGACAGGAGCAGTCGCCCCACTTCCCAGTACTGCACACTTGTAGTCATATTGACCAACAAACAGCTATACCCTCCTTCAAATAGACAAACACTGCTGGCTGCACCTGATTGGGAGAGTGCTTGCTGCTCCAGGATTTCAAAACCGGACCAAGAGGCTCATTTGGAAATGTTCTATCATATTCCGAAAATATTTCATGGAAAAATGTTAAGCATGAAATATGCCATGCAGTTGCTGAATGACAGAAGCCTTCATTTTAGATCAAAAGGACTTTCAGAGGCGGCAAGTCGAACTGCCAGACACTCCTGATTTGCATAAACTAGCCTAGACCTGAATTTGATGCAAATAAGGAGCAGGCAATGTGATGCCCCGTCTCTTAAAACACACCGCAGCGCAACCTGAACACACTACACACTGAACATAGAAAAGCATGGAAATGACTGATCCTGTGGACATGGACCTTAAGTGTTAGAAGCAGTGGGCAACCACTGTGCAGTGGCCAGGGACCAACTCCAGTTCAAGGCCACTGATAGGACAATCATAACATATATGTTTTTGATGGTGAACTGGAGCACCTGCAGGGCACCCACGCAAACATGGAGAGAAAATTCAAACTCCACACAGCCCCAGCTGGGAATCGAACCCAGGACTATCCTACTGTGAGGCAACAGACCACTGAGCCACCATGCTGCTTCTATACCTTTACATTCTTTACTGTGTTGATTTAATTAGCATAAATTGAAAAAGCTATCACAAATTGATTTATTAGCTATCAAAACAATTACATTTCTTTAAATTGAATTAAGAGCATTGATGCATGGAGTTTAAAAGGACCAGTGTAAAGTGTGTGTCTGAGAAACTATGATGGCAGTGAAACTTGTGAAAAAAGCAAAAGGCCGTATTAAGAGCCAGGTTTGTCTGTTCTGTACTTAAAGAAAGAGGACCCGCTGTACATAAACAACTCTCTAAGGTAACAAGAAGACAATTCCTATGTTCAGGTGATTTACTAAGTGCACATTGTACATTAAGAACCAACCTGAAATCTAACAATGACTGCAATGAAGAATGGATTCCAGTCCAATAATCATTTTTTTATTTATTATAAATAGGTTTCATTTGCTCAATGATGAGAATTTGCTCATTCCATTGTGTTATCATTGAATCTCTATGAGGTTTGGGCTGTTGCTCAGAAAAAACAAGACATCTGAACACATTAGCTTTGGCTTTCTTTGCGTATTAAAGCTTGCACTAGGAGGAGCCAGAGGAACCTGATTCTTTCACAGATTTTCTGTTTCATGTACTATTGTCAGGATATAGTGAAAGTTTCAGCAATAATGACAAAAAGTTATTTTCATAAAAGTTACCTACGGCAGCTTTAAATTACAGTTAAATAAAATAACCAATTGTGAGATATGAGAGATATGAATGAAATTAACCAATAGTAGCTGTTGCTAATTATTAACATTCCTGAAGGAGTGGCATCATCATTCCAACAAGTGACATCAGCAATCTAACATGCTCATGGAGATTCTTTGCAGTCAAAAACATGTAGTTCCTCAACATTACAACAAAGAGATGCACAAAACCAAAAGAACAAGCAAAGAGTATTTGAGCTAAAAGAGATTACAGTCACACTGGAGGAACTGGAGGAAAATAAGCTCATGCTGTTTACTAGTCCACCAGAAGCCTCCAGCTCTAGTTCCCCTGAGGTTTTCCTTCTTCTGATCTTATGTGTTTAGCCTGTGCTACTTTCACTATTTGCTGTTGTTTAGCTTGATGAATAATCTAAAGATCACCACCCACATTGCATCAAACACCATGTTTATTCACTGAGAGCATTAGTGTTGGAATGCAAAAAATACTAAATGAAACATAAAGGTTATAGATTAACAAGTTCTTATTAATTTCTAATAGGATCAACTATTAAATGAATTGGCAATTATGTTGATAATCTATTGATCATTTTGAGTCATGAATGTTTAAATTATCTGACTTCAGCTTCTCAAATGTTACTATGTCCCGGTTTCTCAAATGTGAATATTTGCTTTAGTCCTCTATAACAGTAAACTGAATATCTTTGGGTTGTGGATAAAACAAGACATTTGAAGATGTCACATTGGGGTTTGGGAAACAGTGATCAACATTTTTTACCATTTTACGGACAAATCAAGTAATTGATTAATAAAGTTATGAATACTCAATAGTTGCAGCTCTACTTTACTCAAACCATTTCCTACAAAACCCATAAAACCTAATAAGATGCACAAGATTGGTAAAATATAATTTAGTCACAGACTAAAAAGATTATATGTTTATATACAGTATGTATTAAAGAATTTCAGATTCAGTAGATACTACATGCTATCAGTGAGCTTGAGAGCTGTTGGTAGGTGTATTTTAGTCTTTACCAGTGGGATCGATCCATCAGAAAGAGGAACGTCTGTGTTTTTGTTAGTATTTAAAATAACACCTTCAGGCTTTCTAAATACTGTAATGCCTTGTAGAAATTAATTAACTAAGCTGTGTTTTGGTTTATTAAAACATCTGGTTCAGATGTCAGTGTGACTCTTTACCTGGTCTCTGTTGTTGATGTTGGAATAGGGCAGCGCTCCTGACATGAGCTCGTACAGCACAATGCCGAAGGCGTAGACGTCTGACTGGAAGCTGTAGGGATTCTTGTCCTGCAGCCGGATCACCTCTGGAGCCTGAGAGAGAACAGGTTACACTCACAAAGACTTCTTCTTGTAGCTCACACCGATTTTATATACTTTTGTTTGGTAAAATCAAAACTTAGTGAGGGATGAACACTGACCATCCACAGTATAGAGCCAGACAGCTGTTCAAACTGGTGGGAGCCACTCCAGCGGGACTTGACCGTAGCCAGACCAAAGTCACCAATCTTCACTGTCAGATCCTCGTGGAGGAAAATATCTGGGAGGGGGTCAAGGAAACGCTCTTTACTTCTACTTCTGAACTCCTAACCATGGAGGATGGAGGGTATATTTTCATCCCTGCTAGATAAATCCCAACATCACCAACAGATTCAATTAAATTTGTACAAAATAAAGATGAACCTATTGTTTCAAAAGGATACTGTTGCTCTTCAGATCTCTGTGGATGATTGATTTGGCATGCAGGTAACTGAGGAGAAAATAAAGGTTGTTAGACCGAGTGCGTGCACGGTGTAATCTGACTGCTGTTTGGTATCTGTAGGGGAACTCACTCCATGCCCTGAGCAGTCTGCCGGGCAATGTCGATCAACTTGATCATCTCAAACTTGGTCTCGATGATGTGCAGGTGGTGGTACAGACTGGAACCTTCGCACCACTGGGTCACTATGGCCAGCTGAGGCTTGGTAGTGTAGCCCATGAACAGCAGGATGTTCACGTGACGCGTTTTCCTGGTGAGACACACAGCAGTTGACGAAATTGCTCAAGGAGCATCCCACGGTAACATGATGTCAATCTGTAGTGCATTAAAAAATGTATATGTATATATGCATTAGGTGTGTAAGAATATATTGAAAAACATCGTATTGCAATATTTTCTCTTGTGATATTGTATCGATTCTCAAAAGCACTATTGATTTTTGTGTTTAAACCTCCAACCACTAGATAGTAGTGTTAACTGAGGGCTATGATATTGGATGTTAGAATCAGAATCGGGTCTATTGCCAAGTAAGTCACACGTACAAGGAATTTGTCTTGGTTTTTATGCACTGGTGCATAAAAATCACACAGAAATAAAGTACTTTTTAAAATATAAATAAATAAAGATAAGGATAAAGATAAAAAGATCCACAACTGTACAGGAAAGATATTTAAGATAGGAAAACGGGAGGGCATTAATGTAATGCATATATACAGGGTGGGTATTAAGAGTCAGTGTCAGTGGGGGTTCCAAGACTGAGACTACGACAATTTTCTTAAAACAAGGTTAAACGAAAAAAAGCGCAACATAACGCCTTGAATACAGTATCACAATATATTGAAAAAAATCTTTTTTTACAGGACAACGCTTGCTTACAAACGGCCATATAATTTACTGGCTGCGTAGACCAACTATTGATACATTTAACTCCATTTATAAGCTTTAATTTGCTTAATTTTCTGCTCCATACTCTCCAGTGACTTGACTACATTTTACTACAGTTTTCTTCTGACTGTAACATGACTCTGGCCAATGCCCATGCGTACCAGTTTATATTATCTTGAATTTATTTTATTTTACAGAAGAATTCATGAGAACCCCGTTAAAGAGGAGGTGGCAGATGTTACCTGAGGACTCCCACTTCATTTTTGAAGGCCTGAAGCTGTTGTGGTGTGGGAGCAGTGACATTCAACATCTTCACTGCCACATCCCCTGGGAGGAAATGGAGGACAAGTCAGTCAAAAAAAGTTTGTTTTACTGCAGACACGTTTTAAAGTATGTAAAAATACTCTGCTATGATTCTACATGCTACACACTGGACGTTTAAATAAACATGAACACCTCTAAATTGTCAGAGAAACAATCTGTGAATGAAAGATGATTTCTGGAATAAAACTATTGTCTTATATTCAGGCTTATATGGTCAGTAGTGGCAACATTTCAGTCCTGGTTGATTTGAGCACACCTACCTCACAGGTGGTGACAGCAAGTGTGTGTTAATAATACACATCACAGAGCTCAGTTTATAATCACTTGAGTATCAACCACTGTGGGAAGCGAACACATTTTCACAGCTAGTCTGAAAACAAGTCAACAAATCCCATGAACACCAAATCCAGCATTGTTAGTCCATCTCTCAATACTTTGACATCCCTGCCCTGTCTGTGGATACCAGCTCCAAGCCCATTGGTTCCTAATGAAGACGTAAATCTAAAAACAGATCACAAATATAATGTTTCATTTAAAAAAAAGAAAATGCTGAGTAATTTCCAAAAACAGCTGGCCACTGTAGTTTTTAGCAAATGTTACTCTAACAGAAGGAAAAACTGCATTTATTGGGAACTATCTTCAGTGGTGGATGAATCTACATTTGGTACTCCAGTTAGTATTTTGGATAGGAGGACATGTTAATGCGACTGATTCGAAATAAACTACAGTGTGTGTTCATGGTAATGAAGGACCTAATCGTAGTACAGCCTTGGTCTTACCATGCCACTTCCCTTTGAAGACAGTTCCAAAGGATCCAGACCCTATCCTCTGACCCAGAGTGATCTGACCCTCAGGGATTTCCCAGTCGTCACTGGAGTCCCTCCTCCCCAGGGTTTTCTGTTCCACAGAACACTCAGTTAGCACAAGCACACGGACAGTCAACTTCAGAAAATATCTGTGACAACCTCTCACCATCTTATTGCGGTCCTCAGACGAGGATGAGGACTTGCGCTCCCTCTGTTGGCACGGCGACTTCTGGGGGACCTTGACGTTGGTCAGGGAGCCGGGTAAAGAGGCGGGAGGCGTCGCTGACAGCCCTGTAGTGGAGCCTGGAGGGGGGGATCAAGGGTTGAAAAGAAGGGAAACAATAAAAAGAAGAGAAGTGAGGTGGATAGGAAACTGATAAAAAAAAAAGAAGGTGAGCGAAAGCAGAAGAGTAAAGAAAGAGCAGGTTTGGGCGAAGACAGGGATCTGTATCAGTCGTGTGTGTGTGGTCACATGCAGAGGAGAAGTGAGGGGGTGCTTGGTTGGATGGCAGTTCATGGTTTAATAATCTAGACTTCCCAAAGACCATCTCTGTGATTAATTACTTGTGTCAGGATCACTAAAGACTTTATATTGTTGATTAAAAGGGAGCCTATAGACCTCTGCAATCAAATTCTCCAACAAAGAATTCAACCCTTTGAATTGTATAAAAAGTTCCTAAACACATCTCAGATGTAATATTCACAGGAAATAATCTGCTCAAAGTTCATCCAATTGCTTGTTTTACACAAACTCGCGTGCCAGTCTATGGTAGGTTCACTGTTTGGTCATCTGGACAGTTTACAGTTGTTCTTCTGCTGTATGTGTACGATGCGAGATATGGCAAATATCCATAAAAGGGGTCACTTAAGGAAAAAGTCTATATAAGACATGTTGTATAGAACATTGGTTCTATCCGAACACAGATAGATTTAGATGCAAATAGATGGATATACTGTATATTAGGGTTGAACCAGTTAGTCGATACGATAACCGATATTTACCTGCTTCTTATGACCGATACCGATAAGATAACATATTTGCATTTTCAGTTTTAAGTTCTGTAGTTTTAACACACCTAATGGCAAGATGTAGTGATAAAAGATGGATGATTTAATATTC